GGTCACTCTGGTTGTTGGCCATTTGTGGTTGTGGGTCACTGATCACTGTTGGTCAGTCTGGTTGTTGGTCACTGGTGACCGTGGGTCACTCTGGTTGTTGTTCACTGACTGTGGTCACTCTGGCCATGGGTCACTCTGGTTGTTGGTCATTCTGGCTGTGTGTCACTAGTGACCGTGGGTCACTGTGGCCATGGGTCACTCTGGTTATTGGCCATTGGTGACCATGGGTCACTCTGGTTGTTGGTCACTTTGGTTGTTGGTCACTGTGACCATGGGTCACTCTCAGGCCGTGGGTCACTCTGGCCATGGGTCACTCTGGTTATTGGCCATTGGTGACCATGGGTCACTCTGGTTGTTGGTCCCTCGTGGTTGTGGGTCATTGGTGACGGTGGGTCACTCTGGCCCTGGGTCACTGTGACCATGGGTCACTCTGGTTGTTGGTCACTCTGGTTGTTGGTCATTCTGGCTGTGTGTCACTATAGTGACCGTGGGTCACTCTGACCATGGGTCACTGTTGGTCACTCTGGTTGTTGGTCACTCGCGCTTGTGGTCACCCTTGCTTGCTGCTCGTCTGTCCCACGCGTGTGTCACGTGATGCCGTGTCCGTGCCACCACGTGTCCCACGCGTGTCACCCTGGGGGTGTCCCGGGGGTCTTGTCATGTGTCCGGGGGTGTCACCGTGTCCGGGACTGTCGCTGTGTCTGGCATCGTCACCGTGTCCGGAACTGTCGCCGTCACCCTTCCCGCTCCCCGTGGGCGTCGCGGGGTGCCCTTGGCCACGCCCCCAACCGTGACGTCACGGGAAGGCCCCGAAATTCTCCCCCTAGGGGTGGCCATGACGTCACAGCTGGGGGGGCGGGGGAAAGCCCTGCCCTCCAAGTGCCTCCTGCCTCTCAAATGTCCCCAAATGTCCCCAAATTGTCCCCAAATCCCCCCCAAGTCCCCCCAGCGCTTCTCCCCATTCAGCCCCCACGGGGGCGTGGCCTCACCTTGCCCCGCCCTCCCCTCGCCTCATTGGCCAGCACCAGCCTGACCCCTCTCCCCATTGGTCGCCCTCAGGCTGAGCCAGAGCCGGAAGGGAGCGATGATTGGCTGCCAGGCGAGAGGCGCGCTGTGATTGGCCGGTTCCCGGAGAGAGTCTCGGCATCGGTGAGGGGGTGTGGCCTGGGTTGGGGGCGGGGTCTGCCGTGCGTGGGAAAGCACCGCCCACTTCCGCATCACGTGATGGCGGCATCGCCTGCGGGGCGGCGCCTCAGAAATGCCCCAAAACTGCCCTAAAAGTGCTCTAGAACTGCTCCTAAAACTGCCCCTAAACTGCCCTAAAAATGGCCCGAAAGTGCCCCAGAACTG